TAACCGGGCCTGCAGGCCCTGCCCTCCCCCTGCCACTCGGCTCTCCAGCGCCTCCGCAGCCCACCTGTGAAATGGGGGCGTCACCAGCCGCTGCCCCTTGAAGGGGAGATTGCTCCACCCCTCCTTTAAGCCTAGCTAAGCTCACTGCCTGCGACCAATATTCGTTCTGAGCGCCTGAGTCTACCCACTGCCGCGCCTGCCCGGGTGTCCTTTCTGAATCTCGGTTTCCCCATCTGTAAAATGGGGTTGACAATAACAGGACCCACTTCACCGGGCCTTGGGGAGAATTCAAGAACAAAACGTGCCCCTGGCATACAGTTAGTGTTCAGTAAGTGGTGGTTCCTGGCATACAGTCAGCGCCCCAGGAGTGCGCCCTTTTAAAGCCGCCCCTGAGGCCACTCGGCGCCGCACGGTGGCTCCGAGCCCCAAACTAACTTCCTGCAGGGCACTCACCTCCGGCAGCAGCCCCAGCACCTGCTCCAGCAGCCGCGCGCAGGGCCCCAGGCGCTCCAGCCGGCGCTGCAGCCGCGCGCGCTCCCGCTGCAGATCGGCGAGCTGGGCCCGGAGCCGCAGCGCCTCGGCCTCCTGGCGGCCCGCGCGGTGTCGCTCCTCCGCCGCCCTCCGCATCCCGCGGCTACGTCGGGCCTCGGCGTCCTGGGGAGGAGGGATGAACCCTGGCCAGGACGCTCAGGATTGGGCGCCTGCGGAGCGCGCCCCTTCCACCCCGGACCAGCATTAATTAGCACGTGCAGCCGTGGATTGCAAACAGATGGCCCGCGGGCCAAACGCAGCCAGAATCTGATTTTGGTCCCTCACTCCTCCCCCACGGTTTTTTTAAAGCGTGAACGCGTCAGTTTTCCCACCACTCCCTTTGTATTAGTACACCAATTTAAAAAATATATATTTTGTATTGATTTCAGAGAGGAAGGGTGAGGGAGAGATAGAAACATCCATGATGAGAATCATTGATCGGCTGCCTCCTGCACGCCCCCTACTGGGGATTGAGACCAACACCAGGCATGTGCCCTGACCAGAAATCAAACCATGACCTCCTGGTTCAGAGGTCAATGCTCAATCACTGAGCCATGCCAGCCAGGCTAGTACACCCATTTAAAAAAATAATTAGCACATAAAAGTTTATTAAACATTCTATTGATCTTAGACATGGGATATATTAAATTTATAGAATGATTTTTAGAGAATTGACATTAAAATGATGACTCTTATCATCCATGAATTTGGATTTAGCCAACAGGTTATTGAAGTCCCCAACTATAAGAGTACACCCGTTTTTAAACATTTCTGTGACATGTCTGGCCCCTAAGGATTGGGACTTTGTGACCCTGTGACCTGCCTCCCCCAGCAGGCCCCACCCACCTGCAAGAACTTGTCAAAGCGGAAAAAGGACCCCTTTAGCTCCTGCTTCTTCTGTTCCAACTGTTCCCGGCGCTGCATCAGGACTGCCATCCTGTTCTGGAACACCTGGCGTGTGAACATGGGTGTCTGTGTGTTTGGGGGTTCAAGTCATCCAGCGCCTTTAAGTTCACACTTAACTCCTCTCATCTGTGGTCCCCGATCGTGTCGCTACGCCCCTCCTCAAATCCACCCGCAGCTCCCGCCAGCCGCAAGGAAGCCCAGGTGCCCTCCTGCAGCCCCTGCGTGTCCGTGTCCCTGCCCTTTCTCAGGCCTCATCTCACCCTCCCCGCTCTGACACTCTGTCTTCCGGCCACGTGGCCACCTGTTTCCTCTTTGTTTCTTCCTTCTCACACTGTTCCCCTTTGATGGATAAGCCAACTTGCCCTTCAGGAATCCCTAAGACACCACTTCCTCCAGGAAGCCCTCCTTGATCACCCTCATGTGGAAATAGGGGCTTTCTCTGGGCTCTTACAGTCCTTCTCAGTGCGTCCCCCTCCTAGCAGTCACCAGCTGGACATGGTCTGGGTCCTTCTCTACACTGTGAGCCCCTGAGGACAGGGACCATGGTGAGACCCCTAGATCCCGACGAGTGCCCTGCACGTAGGTGCTCAGAGCACATTGATTTGCACCAACAACTGATCTCCTTGGATCCCCACTTGACAGGTGAGGAAACCAGGGCTCAGCGTGGTGACGTGACTTGTCTCAGGTCTGGGAGCTAATAAGTTGGCTCCAGGATTTCCCATTCCCCTGCTCACCACCATTTTTTTTGGTCTGGGGTCCCCACAAGTCTCAGGACTACAGTGGGGGCTCACCTCCTTCTGGGCCCGCAGGCCCCGGTCCACATCCGCCAGCTCCTGCCTCTTCCGCAGGAGACACAGCACCGGCAGGGAGTGGCCGGGATTCCGCTCCAGGATCTTCCTGGAGGGGCTCACAGAGGAGGTGGGGGTGAAGGAGGGAAGAGTCAGGGCCCCCAAACTACCCCTAGTGCCTGAAATGCCCCCATTAGCCACCTACTGGCTGTGGAATTCTTCATTCATTCATTCATTCATTCATTCAACAAATTGTACTGATCACCTAGCAAATGCCAGGCACCATCACAGCACTGGGGCCCCTGCTGGGGACAAGACAGACAAAAAGCGGCCCTGCGGGAGCTGGCATCCTGGGGGGGTGGGGGGGGGGACGACACACACACACACAGGAGATAAAGCTAACAAATAAGAAGAAGCAGCCCTGACCGGTTTGGCTCAGTGGATAGAGCGTCAGCCTGCGGACTGAAAGGTCCCAGGTTCGATTCTGGACAAGGGCATGTACCTGGGTTGCGGGCACATCCCCAGTAGGAGGTGTGCAGGAGGCAGCTGATCGATGTTTCTCTCTCATCGATGTTTCTAACTCTCTATCCTGCTCTCTTCCTCTCTGAGAAAAATCAGTAAAATATATTAAAAAAAAAAAAAAGAAGAAGAAGAAGAAGCAATGCCAGGACATGGTAGGTGCCAAGGTGACAAATCCTTCAATGCGGAAGGGGGTCAAGAAGTCTCTCTGAGGAGGGCCAGAACCTTGGTGAGCGGAAGGGGAGGGAGGGAGGAGAGAGATGGGAATTACAATCAGAGAAGTTGTGGGGGCCAGAGGGTGGGGAGGGAGGACTTTGGCCTTGACTGTGAGTGAGGTGGGCAGCAGGGGAGGCTTCTGAGCAGAGGAGGGGTCCCCCTGGCCGCTGTGGGGGACAGAGACAATAGGAGGGGCAGGAGAGCTGCAGGAGACTGGTGACAGGGTGATGGGGTGACAGATGATCGGGCGGTTGTAGTGCGGAGGGGCGGAGGGGTCCGTTCTGGATACAGTTTGAGAGCTGAGCTGATGGAGTGATGAGGGAGGTGAGAAAGGAGTCCCATGCCTTCGCCGGTTTGGCTCAGTGTATGGAGCGTTGGCCTGTGGACTAAAGGGTCCTGGGTTTGATTCCTGTCAAGGGCACATGCCCGAGTTGCAGGCTCTATCCCCAGTAGGGGGCGTGAAGGAGGTAGCTGATCACTGATTCTCTCTCATCACTGATGTTTCTCTCTCTCTCTCTCTCCCTCTCCCTTCCCCTCCCTGCGGGCCCAGAAGAAGAGCCCCCACTGTAGTCCTTTTATTGAAATCAATACAAATATATTTTTAAAAAAATAGAAAGAAAGGCCCTAGCTGGTTTTGCTCAGTGGATAGAGCGTTGGCCTATGGACTGAAGAGTCCCAGGTTCGATTCCGGCCAAGGGCACATGCCCGGGTTTCGGGCTCGATCCCCTGTGGGGGGCGTGCAGGAGGTAGCCAATCAGTGATTCTCTCTCATCATTGATGTTTCTATCTCTCTCTCCCTCTTCCTTCCCCTCTGAAATCAATAAAAATATTTTTTAAAAAATAGAAAGAAAGGAGTTCGAGGTGAAGCTGGGACTAAGAGCTGGGAGGGTGTTGCTGATGGAAGAAGGCTGAGTGGGGGGAGGGGGCCAGGGGAGATCAGCTCCTTGCTGTGGCCAAGTTGAAACTGAAGACGCCTATTAGAGCTCCGGGGGAGGGGTCCAGCAGGCAGCCCCACAGGGTCAGCTGTGTAGGGAGCAGAAGGGATACACTAACTCCATTCGGCAAGCCTTTCCCAGCTCCGGTTCAGGGGAGACGCTGCCATTTTCAGATTCTAAGACTGCGGTTGGGACCCTCACTCCACGGAACACAACACAGGCCTGGACAGGCTTCCTCCACTCTCCCTTTAAAAATGCAGTTTGCAGGCATAGAGGGGGCAAAAGTTCATAGAATAATTCCTTCCCACCTGGGTTCAAACCATTTAATCTCAGCTGGATGTCAGCTGGGGTGGGAATCAAGGGCAGGTTAGAGACCTGGGCTACTGACCCCCGCTCAGCTCTAACCAGCCCGGAGACGTCAGGGAAGTCCCCAGTTCTCTCTGAGCCTCAGTTGTTTTCATCTGTGAAATGGGGGCAATGATCTCCCACCGTGAACAGGCTGTGGAAGCCAGGACCCAGGACTTGGGAGGGAATGGGCCACCCACTCACTCCTGCCCTCCTTCCGGCCCTCCCTGCCACCCCGAGCCACTCACATCGGCAGCTTGTCTTGCCAGGCCAGTCGGAAATCTCTCTCCCAGGACACGGCCATTCTCCTGGCGATTTCTGGGGCTTTCTTTCCACCTGGAGGGTTTCTGATGGAAGGTGGTGCAACAGCGTGTTCGGAACTCCCAGAAGGCAGCCACCAAGCAGGCCCTGGTTGCCCAGGCAACCATCAACGCAACATTCCATTGCCTGGCTGAGGCCCGGGAAATCCACCCCGGGAGGGAGAGGGAGGGGCTGCCGGGAGGGCAGCAGGCTCTGCCCCTTCGGGGGCTTTAACTCCCCGTCTAAATTGGGGTCCCAGAGGAGAGGGGACCCTTGGCCAAGAATTTGCCCTCTTGGTGACCCATGTCTGGTCAGGCCTCTTCCTGGCTGGGTGGGATGGGGCCTTGCTAACGTGGCTCTATGCCCAGATGCCTGCTATTATTGGGCACCCACAGGTCTTGGGTGGGGTCACTTACTCCCCTGCAAGGTGCCAAGGGCCTACCATGTTCCAGCCCTTCGAGGGTCCACTTCCTTTGCGGGGGATGGGGCTCCCCTGGCCACGCCTCACGGAGGGAGCCCGGGCCTGGTCAGGGAGCTAAGGAGGACCAGCTGGAGACCAGCTGGGAAGAGACCCGCGATCTGGATTTGGAGGCTGGGGGTAGGGGAGCAGCTGAGGTGGTTTAGGCAATTACTGTGGGTAAGTAATTCAGGCAGCCACACATCTAGGAGAAGGACTGGTGAAAAACTGGCAGCACCCACTCCCGGCTACGGAGCCATCGGAACTCTCAAAAAGTAATTCAGTGTCGGATTTAATCCGTGACCAGCACTGCAGAGGTGGTATTAGGGGCAAGTACTCAGTAAAATTACGAACACCCATGGGTCTGCCCTAGCTGGCCTGGCTCAGTGGATAGAGCGTGGGCCTGCGGACTGAAGGATCTCGGGTTCGATTCCGGTCAAGGGCACATGCCTGGGTTGCGGGCTGGATCCCCTCAGTAGGGGGCATGCAGGAGGCAGCCGATCAATGATTCTCTCTCATCATTGATGTTGCTATCTCTCTCTCCCTCTCTCTTCCTCTCTGAAATAAATAAAAATATATATATTTTTAAAAAACCCCACAAACTCACTCATCCTTCCCACTTTAAAATTGTGGAAGTGACTCTTAGTTTAAAAAAGAAAGAAATGTATTTTCTTATTGCAGGTAACACTATTTAAAAAACTATAATTACTTATAAATGCCTGTATTGCTTAAAACAACCGCTAAGCATTTTATTGGAGCATATTTTTTAAAATGGAACTAAAATAATGTTATCTTTGAGCAGTTTGCAGTAAACTGTAGACTATCCACATACACTGATGTGAAGGGACAAGGTACATAATCTAGATTTTTCCTGATTTAAAAAATATTGAGATATAATTGAATAAAGTAAAATTCATTTTTTCCACATACGGTTCTGTGAATTTTGGCAAATACATAAAGGCATGTAACCACCACCACAGTCAAGATACAAAACGTTTGCCCCAAAAGTTCTCACGTCCCTTTGTACTCAACCCTTGTCCCCACCCCAGCCCTTGGCCGCCACTGACCTGTTCTCTAGCCCGATAATTTTGCCTTTTTCAGAAAGTCATGAATAGAACCTATACCAGCGGTTCTCAACCTGTGGGTCGCGACCCCTTTGGCAGTCGAACGACCCTTTCACAGGGGTCGCCTAAGACCATCCTGCATATCAGATATTTACATTACGATTCATAACAGTAGCAACATGACAGCTATGAAGTAGCAACGAAAATAATTTTATGGTTGGGTCACAACATGAGGAAATGTATTTAAAGGGCCAGAAGGGTGAGAACCACTGACCTATACCTTGTAGCCTTTCAAGTTTGGTTTCTTTCATTTAGCAATATTCATTCTTGATCCATTCATGTTGGTGTGTGAATCAGCAAGGAACATCCCTTTTCACTGCTGAGTAGTATTTCACGGTATGGTTTGTCCATTCACCTTCCAGTTGGGTTAGTTCTAGTTCTCGGCAATTATGGTATAAAGATAGTATTTCCATGCATTTTTTTTCTCTGTGAACATAAGCTTTCGTTGGGTCATGTGATAAGTGTTCATTCAAATGTATAAAACTCTGTAAACTGGTTTGTAGTGTGCCTTACTGTTTTGGTATTCACACGAGCAATGCATGAGAGTTCTGATTGCTCCATAGCTTCGCCAGGCGTTGGTATTGCCAGTTTTAAAAAAATATATTTTTTAATTGATTTCAGAGAGGGACAGGGATAGAAACATCAGTGATGAGAGAGAATCATCAACTGGCTGCCTCCTGCACACCCCACACTGGGGATCAAGCCCGCAACTCGTGCATGTGCCCTGACCAGGAATCAAACCGTGACCTCCTGGTTCATAGGTCGACACTTAACCACTGAGCCATCCTGGCTGGGCTGCCAGTTTTCTTAAAAAGTCATTCTGATAGATGTGTAGCTATCTATTGATTCTGAGATCATTGTAGATTCACCTGCAGTTTAAAAAAATAATATAAAGAGTTGCCATACCCCTTCACCCAGTGCCCCCCCCCCCCGCCCCCCGTGGTGACTTCTTGCACAACTATACACTCTCACAACCAGGAAATTGACATTGAGAATCCACTGACCTTACTCAGATTTCATTTGGACGACTGTGTATTCAGTTCTATGCAGTTTTATCCCATTTGGACGCTGGCAATCGCCACAGTCCAGATACAAAACATTCATCTCAAAGGCCCCTCCCGCCCGCCTCCCTAACCCCTGGCACCCACTCATCTGTTCTCTGTGTGGTTTGGTCACATCGGGGAGGTTATATAATTGGACTCACATAGCATGTAACCTTTTGAGAGTGGCTTTTAAAAATATTTACTTTTATTGATTTCAGAGAGGGAGAGACAGAAACATCAATGGTGCGAGAGAATCATGGATTGGCTGCCTCCTGCATGCCCCCTACTGGGAATTGAACCCACAACCCGGGCATGAGACCGGAATCGAACCTGGGACCTTTCGTCCGCAGGCTGACGGTCTATCCACTGAGCCAAACCAGCTAGGGTGAGAGCGGCCTTTTTCACTCAGCTGCATCCCCTTGAGAGCCATGCTCATTGCTACCTGTATCCATGTTTGTTCTTTTTGAGCACTGAGCAGCATTCCATCGCAGGAATGGGCAATGTTTGTTTAACATTCAGGTTGAAGGACATGTGAGTTGCTTCCAGTTCGGGGCCATTATGAATAAAGCCACTCTGAAGATTCAGGTCCTGAATGTTGTATGAACATGTTATCATTTCTCTGGCATAGCAGATGCCCAAGAGCATAACTGCTGGGTCCTACGGGAAATGCCGGTTTAGTTTTAGTTTTGTTTTTAAAGAAACCGCCATATTCCTTTCCAGAGCGGCGGTGCCACTTTATGTTCCAACCAGCAATGTGGGAGCGATCTTGTTTTCTGCATCCTCACTGTTACCCACCCCCCTTTTTAGACATTCTGGTAGGTGTGTTGTGGTATCTCATTTCTCTAATGGCCAATGGTGATGAACACCTTCTCAGGTGCTTATTTGCCATCCGAAATCCTCTCAGCAAAACATCTGTCCATGACCGTCGCCTGTGTTCTAACTGATTGTTCTCTTTCCCACCGCTGAGTGCCGAGACGTCTCCCTGCATATGTCTCCGTGCTCCAGGCGAGCCTCTGTCGACCTGAGCTCCCCCCCCCCGCCCCCCCCCCCGCCCCGAGGGTGGGGGCTCTCTTTTCATCCTCTCCCACGATCTTTGATGAGGTGCAATCTGCCACCGTTTCCTTTATGGATCGTGCTTTTGGTATCAAATCCAAGATGGGATTTGAACTCAGGCCGTCTGGGTGTAGCGTCACCTTCTTAACCACAACACTGCAGATAGAGGCGAGCCCTTCTCGGGTCTTTCCTTCCTCAGGCCCATTCCCGCCCCCAAGATGCCATCATCTCGAAGCCAGCATGCATCCTTCCTTTCTTAATGTCTATTGTTTTAGGGGTGTATGTTTGCAAAGGTTTATTGAGCACCTACTATGTACCAGATACTATGTGAGGATGCAGCAGCGGATCAGACAAGACCTGCCTTCATGGGGCTTGCAGGCTAATGGGGAGGCCAAGTGAATCAAATAGTCTTCTAGCCCTAGCTGGTTTGGCTCCGTGGATAGAGGATCGGCCTGCGGACTGAAGGGTCCCAGGTTTGATTCTGGTCAAGGGCACATGCCGAGGTTGCGGGCTCAATCTCCAGTAGGGGGCATGCAGGAGGCAGCCGATTGATGATTCTCATCATTGGTGTTTCTATCTCTCTCTCTCTTCCTTCCTTTCTGAAATCAATAAAAATATTTAAAAAATAGTCTTGTAGCCGAAACCGGTTTGGCTCAGTGGATAGAGCGTTGGCCTGCGGACTGGAAGGTCCTGGGTTCGATTCTGGTCAGGGGCATGTACCTGGGTTGCGGGCACATCCCGGATGTGCAGGAGGCAGCTGATTGATGTTTCTCTCTCATCGATGTTTCTGACTCTCTGTCTCTCTCCCTTCCTCTCTGTAAAAAAAAAAATCAATAAAATATATTTTAAAAAAATAAAAATAAAAATAAAAATAGTCTTGTAAACATGTCATCACACTCTGATAGGGTGAGGGGAGGCCTAGAGTACAAGGAGGGGGCCGGGAGGCCTCCTGAGGAAGTGACATGTCAACCCAGACCTGAAGGAGGAGGAGGGGTGAGAAGAGGAGCGGGGCAGTATTCCAAGTAGAGAAAACGGCATGTGCAAAGGTCCTGAGGCAGGAGGACGGGGCCCTCCTAGAAGAGAACAAAGGCCTGTGGGTTGGTGTGCAGAATTCAAGGATGAGGGGGTAGGTCAGGCCTGGATAGGGCCAAGGAGTGGCCACACCTGTGCTACAAGCGACAGATGAGGGAGTTAGGTGACTCCTCCATGGATATGAAGCTGAGAAGCGATGGACCCTGGCGTTTGTTCATCTAGAGATCCCTCCCCCATCCCCCGCTCAGGAACTGTTCACAGCACAGAGGAAAGGAGAGGAGGTCCCTGGGCCAGC